TACATAGTAGGAATTGATGTATTTAAATGAAAATGAAAGCTATAGTGCAAAGTGCAAATATATATTTACAGGTGTTTGCCATTAAATAAAATCCCACTGTACTCAATGCCGATATGAAGGGTGATTCATGCGTAATGCAACATACATACATACATATGTTTATATATGTATTTACATTAGGCATATATATGACTTTTTTCTTTGATGCTAAAACAGTACACAGTTTTTTTTTTATCTCGGAGTTGCCTGCGGAATTTTTTACAGAGGCATTATTTTTTCCATCATTCCTCATTCTCTCTTCATAGGTATCTTTATTTAATTCTATAAAAAAAAGACATATGCCTAATGTATATATGTACATATATGCGCAAGCTTGGAGGTGGTTCCCAGAAATAATCGACGGCACCGATATGTTGGACTCACATCATGATTAATAGGAATCTAGATAAGAATGTAATTTTTTGAATAATACGTATAGAAATGTGCGTATCGCGGACTTATTTATATTCAATACAGTCTATCTACAATTTTCATGAAAACTAATTTCTAATGTTAGAGCTTATCTGGGTCCTAACTATCATCGCTGATGTTAATTCTAACTTTGAACTATCTCGACAAAATAAATATGAATTGATGAATTATGCATTAATTTCAACAACGACTTTTGTATATAAGTAAGATGAATCATCCAAAAATCTTGGTTTCCCAATAAAAAAAGAGAGTAAAAAAACTGCTTCCAGAGATCGGATTTGTAGCAAATACGCTTTTATGATATGCTTCAAATAGAGGTCGCAGGCTGGCGTGAAGACATGAAGAATGCTGATTCGGTGAAAGTTTACACACATAAATCGAAGATGAACTGGATAGGGGGTATATCCGCGGCAGTGTTTTGGATCTAAGTAAGTTCTATTAGCTGTCGCGCATTTTCCAGGCAGAAGTCTTAGTCATAGAAAGGCTTCACACGCCTTTAAAATTGCCTCTATTCTATGATCAAATTTGTAGGTGATGCAGAACGAATAAGAAGATACTACAACGTATCTTCTGTGAGCGTCCTGATCTCAGCAGACAAAAGATTATTTCCTCAGAAGTAGGCTTTCTGCTGAATCTGAAGGCAGCTACCAAAAGAGGATTACGATGTCCTTCAACATTGCTCTTGGTTTCCAGAGAATATGTTATGGACATTATGGTGCAGAGCGACACAGTGGCCATCCAGCCTGGCCCAACCTAACCTAAACCCCCAAGTTTAAAAAACCTCCAATCATTTTATCTTTTTTGTATGGAACGTGTAGCAATCCACGATATAGAAATCAACTAATCGTCCAAGGTATTCCATTGAATTGATAATTTTTTGCCAACATACATAAGGTAAACAGTGTGACCATATATCTATAATACGCGAAGGGATTTCTTGTCCAGGACATAAGATCTGCACCGCTCGCTTCGTTTTCAAAAATGAGATGCCGAATAAATCTCTTGGCCTGTAGATGAGCAAACCATGATACAATAATTTTTAGAAGGTAGTTTCACTTCAAAATTTTTGACATAAACCGTGTCTGTGACAAGCACGCAATGTGGCCACTGCTACGATATAGAACTTGGGGATTATCGCTTGTTATTTTAGATATTTTTTAACAGAACATATAAAGATTTATATGTTTCATAACTGATCACTTAATTTTTAATATAAATATACGTATTTTATACATACATTTTTGCCACTGTTAATCACATGAATAAAAATCATATAAATGAAAATATAACAGCAATATTTCTTGTTTATAATGGATTAGATCCATCGCACACCACGGACTTTATCGGCCGCCAATTTAGATGTGCTCGCTAGTCTTTCCATTGCACCACAACTTATTGGTCAGAGCGATTAAGCTGGTGTAATGTGCGCACCTCCATACATCTTCATGTACATATTTCAAGCGAGCCCTATGATTTAAATAGGCGGCCGATAAAGTCTGTGGTGTGCGGTGGCTCTTATAGCTGTGTCCTTACATCTATTCCGTGTGTTGCAATATCCACGAAAGCTGCAGTTAATTTTTTATTAAGAAAATTATTACAAAATATTCGAAAATTTCTCTACTTATATGTTTGGCTTTTCTTTGTTTTATTTTTCCAACGTCAAAAGCTGGAAAAGCTTTTTTGAAAAAGTTGGTACAACAAAAAATACGAAACACGTTTTCTGTCAGATAGCTAACATGGCGGATAAGAAGAAGAAGTGAAACTACCTTCTAAAAATTATTGGCTGCGTTTCTTTACACATTCCGGATAAACCCATTTCACAACCAGAATAAACAGAATGCCATTGAAATATACGTTTACATATCATCAGGAACGTTCTAAAGAATAAGTAAACAAAAAAGTTTATTCCAAACGTTCAGAATGAATAAAGAAATGCAGCCATTGTATCATGGAGCAAACTGCTTTTAAAAAACTTTAGTTTGAAAAAATTTTTTTTTAGTTTGAAAATATATTATTGCCATCTATTCGAAAAGTAATATCTACATATGTATATAGTGCGTTTTTCTGTTTTATCATATGCTATTTTGACAGTGATAGCTCTTTCCCGCTTGAAACACTTTAGGAAATAATGCAAAAAAATAATGAAATGGACAATGTTCAAAGGGCTTGAAAAACTTGGCTAAAAGGATGTGCTTGAATAAAAAAAACACTATATGGACGATTTTTTGTGAAGGTCATTAGATCTGCACCGTTATTTCGAATATCAAAAATTAATTGTAGAATTAAAGAACTGGGCCGGTTGATGTGCAATTAGGTATTATTTTTTGAACATAAAACTTGTTTTAGCGGTACATGCTGATTTTTAATTTAATGGAATGAAAAACTGACACTTCTCTTCGCTCAGAAACTGATGGAAGGATTAAGATGAAACATTTGGAATCCTTATTACTGTTTAAAAAGTTACAATTCGATTTTGGCGTCTTAACGGCATCCGGGTTCACTAGTTTGTAGTTAAAAGTGATCTGTCATTTCTTGGGAGTATTCGTTGTTGTATGTATATTCCTTGAATATTACTTAGTAACAGCAGGTAATTAGGCTCGGAAAGAGTTGGAGAAGGTTTAATTGTACAATTTTAAATCCTGAGCGTTTGTGTGGTCGCGGCGTAGGCAGTAGACTAATATACATATACATATACATATGTAGTGCAGAGTGTCTAGTCGGAAAGTATTAAATGTCATCACTATTCGTCACTTTCTGCATATTTTTTAATATGAATTACATTTTAATGCACTTACTATATACTTACGAGGGCAGCTTGATTGCTTTTTGACGCACCCGTAAGACCATTTCAAAGGGCGGTGTTCGACGGCAATTCGGATGAGTTTTTCTACATGTAACAATACACCAGAGACCAAGGTAAAATCAAAAGAGTAGACCTCTCCGGGCGAGTGTAAGCCAAA